ATATGTTATACATATAGACAATGCATATCAAAGAACCAGTTATTCCCCTGCTGTTTGGAAAGCATGTCTCAGGTAAAAATGTATCCGGCACTGTTTGCACTAGCGTGCAGTTTGCTGTTTGGGGGGTTAGAAATGGAGTTTGGTTGCCAGCATCCATGGTCAGAAACATTGTATCTGTGTATATAATAAAACTACCGTATATACTCGATCATAAGCCAGTTGGTTTATAAGCCGACCTCTACCCCCCCCCCCGCAAGATGGATAAGTAAAAATAGAAATTTTTTATGACCCGTTCATAAGCAAACCCTATAATTCAGAGTTCAGCAAACTTTGGCTCACGGGCCATGAGGATAAGCCGCTGGCGGGCTGAGATGGTTTGGTTACCTCGAGCGTCCGCAGGCACGGAGGTAAACCTAAGTAAATAAAGTGTCCCATCCCGCCAGCTGCTTACCCTGACAGGCCGGGACACCAACTGGTGAGGAAATTTTTTTGGGGGGAGAAGCTGGGGAGGGCCAGGGGAGGATGTGTCTGGCCTGGCTGGAGCTGCTCCGGCAGGTTGGGCAGCGCGGCTGCAGCCTGTTCCCGCAGGCCAGACCAGGCAGCGTGGCTGCAGCATGTTCCAGTGGGCTGGGCCAGGCGGCATGGCCGCAGCATGCTCCGGCACCTGGGTGGCGGCCTTCTCTGGCGGGCGGGGCCGAGCAGCACGGCTGCAGCCTGCCAGCCCCGGAGTTGCAGCTGCTTCGGAGGCTGGGGGAGAGCAGCGTAGCCAGAAGCGGAGAGACTCTGGCCCCGCCTCTTCCCTTCTGGCTGTGCTGCCTCTCCTTGCCCCCTCTGTTGGGGGGAGGGGCTGTGTCCCACCTGTTCATCTCTACACCCGTTCATCTCTATACCCGTTCATAAGGTTGTTAACACTGAAGCTGTTAAACTTTCCGTCCTGGGGTTGGGAAGTCAGGAAACCTCTTCTTTCAATCTGATGCTAATAGTATTGTGAAAAGCCTGTGGCAGCCCACACTATTCTGAAAGTAACTGAAATTGTTAGGTTAGTGTGTTGGGTAACTCTTTGAAAATAGTGTTTTCATTTCTTGGCACATGGGTTAGGCTTTCTATATAGATATATGTATATAGATGCACAGCTTCTCTCTGCTGTAACAATTGGATACATGGCTATGTAAATGAAATGTATTTAACTTTGACAGATAACATCTTTCTGGAGATTCTGTACTCTAGTAATAAAGAGCTGGCTGAGGCACGAGAAATTTTGCATAAAATAGAGCTTCGCGATCTATATAAGTATTTGGGAGAGACTCGTACTGAATCAGGAAAAGAAATTACAGAGGTAAACGGCATTCTCAATCCAATCTCTATTGATAGAGGGCTCCAAATTCTGCTGCCTCTTTTAAATATGCACTTCTGACTATTCTGCTGATTTGTCTCTATTCTACTATCATTCCTAAAACTGCCTTGGCCAATGGTAAATTGCCTGTCTTCTTCAAAACTCAGCCAGTAAGTATGGGAACGGTTGTTACATGGAAGAAACCAGGGGAAGGATAAGAGATTTGGATAAAAAAGATCAGCTGCTGAGCTGAAGACTATTTCAGGATATTTTTATTTGAAATAACGTGTGTTCTGCAAAAATATAGGGAATTGTATGTCAAAAAGCATCACTTGGGCCAAAAAACCATGAGAACATTTGAACACAAGGAAACAGTAAAACCATTCAGCAGAGTAATGAGACTCTGGTGCAATTTTGGCTCCAAGTTGTTGTCAGAGTGGCTTTAGTGGTATGGCTGAGTTTACATTCATGCGAGATATAACTTCTGAATTTCTTGACTTTCAGGGGTGTAAATTCTCAACCTTAGTCACTATCTACTTCTCAAGCTCAGCATAGCTGTTTATTTCAAAAACAGTCAGTATCAATTTAATATAGTACACTGAAATATTCTAGACTGAGCTGGTAGTGCTGCCGATATTTAAAGTTGCCCTGTATGTCCCATTATAAAAACACTATTTTCATTGGTTTATAACTTTGCCAAACTTAAACTGTTTGGGCTGAAATTTTGCATGCTGGGCATCTGCCACTGTCTGAACTAATTTCGGCAAAAATGATGTGGTTGTTTCAGAGAATAAGAGTAGATGAAAATGTTTTGCCCAGCTTTTTTATTTTAAAAACCCTTCAGCTACTTTATTGATTAGGGTTACCATATTTAACAAATAAAAAAGAGGACCTTCCACGGGGCCCTGGCCCCGCCCATTTCCCCACCCCGGCCCCACCCCAACTCCGCCCCTTCCCCGCCCTAACTCCGCCCCCTCCTCCCTCCCACTCCCAGCCATGCGAAAAGGGCTGCCTGAGCGCTACGGGCTTCACGGTTTGCCGGGCAGCCCCCCGACCCTGCGCCCCCGGCCGGCGCTTCCCCAGCGCAGCTGGAGCCCGGGAGGGGAGGCGCCCAGCCGGGGGCGCAGGGTCTGGAGGC